GAAGACGGTGCAGAAGGAGGCTCAGAAGGAGCGCTGTGACAGAGATCATGGGAGGGGCTTGTGCTGAGACACCAGGAAGCAAGAGAGCTCTTGCCAGCCGGATTTTTGTGGATCTGCAGTGAGAGTGGAACGTCTGTCTGGGGACCAGCTGACTCGGGGCGGGGGGGAAGGCCGGCCCCCTCTCCATCGCTGTTGTGGTTGGGGCTGAGAACCAGGAACATATTGGGCCCCCTGGGGACCGTTGCTTCTCTGGGATTTTGCACTCTGCTACATTCTAAGCTTCACCTCTCGATCTCATGGCAGGGACACAGCGGGGACTTGAGTTTTCATTCATAGAAAAAACCAGAGGTCCTGCCTGTTCCTCCCCACCGTCCCTCACCACTCTGTCCCCTGCCTTCTCCCCCACCCCAGATACCTCTGCCCTTAGTCTCAAGGGAGATAACATCAGGGAGTCCTACTTTGCCCCCAGGAGCCTCCCTCGTCCTGGAGTATTAATGCATTTCCTTTCATATCTTGGTGCTGATAGCTCTCTGAAGGTGGGGTGCCCCCTGCCCCTGTCCTGCCTGCCCCCTCCACCACCCACCCCTTTCGCGGAGCCCCCAGCCAGCAGCAGGCCAACTCTGCCTGCACTCCCCCGCCTTGCCTCTCGCTGCCTCAGTAAGGCACCAGTGTCATTGTCCTGGCTGGGGCAAGGCCCCCACTCGGGCCACAGCAGGAACACTGCTCAGTGGTCACACGGCTGCTTCTCTGGTATCGCCCTGTGCAGCAGCCAAGCAGGGGAGGCCGGAGTGGGGAAGGAGGTGGCCTTCCTCTTCTGGACTGAGGCAAAGGCGGTGTCTTCTCCAGAGAAGGTGCATGTCAGAACCTATGCTCTCCTGCTCTCCAGGCCTGGCTCCTCTTCCAGGGAAGAAAAGCCAAATCCTTATCCAGTAAAAAGCACCTAACACCTCCCCTTGGGTCTCCTGAACACTGATTTGGGAGTGCCTTAAGGTTCTGGCCTTTGAGAAGTTGCTGTGGGGAAGGCCTGGCACTCTGCCCTCAGTGCCGCGTCCTGTCCCCACCCTCTGCCATGAGCCCGGAGGCATCTGCCCCAGTGGAACCCCACAGGGCCACTCTTGCAGTGCCCGTGCACACAGGCCCCCTCGCAAGTCTGCATCGTCTGCTGGATGCCCCGCGCTGCTCCACATCCCACCAGCAGCGGGACGGGCATTTGCTTGGAGGGGGCCTGACAGCTTTACACTGGAATAAGTCAACCCTCACCCCTACCCTGCCGGTTCCCAGGGGAGTTTACCTGGGGTGAGATTTTAACTTGCTGGAAGAGGATTGGTAGGTTCTTTCCAAGAATCATGGGAACAAAGGAAGCGTGTTTAGGAAGTGTTTCTCCTCTGGTCTCGGTCTCTCCAATGACACACAATAGCTATTTATTGTCTTAGATCATGGTTTTCTGATACCTCCCACTCAGAGACCAGAAGGAGCCCCAGTGTAAACCCCAGATAAGGCAAGTTCACCGCTATATGTCTCTTTCCAGCAGTCGGACATCTGGCACCAGGCCCACTGGTAGAGCACTGGTGCGGGGCCCTGCATGTCCTAGCCACTGCGGCCACTTCCCACAGGGCTTCTGGGGCCAGGGTGGGAGAGGCCTTGTCTCAGACCAGCAGATCACCCTGTTGTTGCTGTTGACCCCATTAAGTTCTCAGACATCAGTCTTTCTCCTCTTCCCCCAGGTCTTGGTTTTGAGAGACATTGCAGGCCTTTTGTACCAGGCTTTATGTTTGAGGCACGTTAAGATATTTTGGGTTTTTTTTCTTTTTTTTTTTTTTGGTCGTATCCACCCTGTTTCAGGTTATCTTGTTGGTGGGTATGTGTATATGGCGTGTATGGTTCTTTTTAACCCTTTCTGGTTTTTTAGAGGAAACTTTGAAGATAAACTCCTCCTTGATATATTTTTTTCTTTGGCAACTTGTTATCACTGGAATCAAAGGGCAAAACGATCTCTTTGCATTGGTTGTATTTGTCACAAATAAAGGACAACTTTGTTCAGCTGCCCGGATGGCTTTCTGATGCCGGGGTGCCATGGGCAGCGTGGGCTCGGGGAGCCCCGACCCTGGCAGGTGAGGTTCCCCTCGGACTGTCCTAGCATTGGGCCCAGACCTGGAGGCTGTGATGGAGATGGCCTCAGGGCTGAGAAGACCTCAGGGTGGCAGACAAACAGCCAGAGATGGGGACTGAGACCAGATGTATGTGTCTGTGCCACTTCCCAGAAGCCCTGGGTAGAGGTCAAAGGTGTTCTCCTGAGGGGAGCCTGCTTTGCATCTTGGAGAGAAGAATCCCAAGCCGCCTGTTGTGACATTTGACACCTGCAGCTAAACATGAATTCCAGTGCACGTGTGTGGGCACTGAATACATGAAAGGGCTGGTGTTCCTTTCCTTTCCCTTTGACTTTATTGTGTTATTCGGAATATTCTTTGTCTCTTAAAAAGGACTCCTCCCCTCTTCCCTCCACTCATAAGAGACAAAGGCTTAAGGAAGGGTAACTCGTCAGGCCTGACAGGGCGGGAAAGTTATGAGCTGGGGGAGGCTCTGAGTCCTCAAGTGTGACAGATAGTGCTGTGGCAGCTTCTCCCCAGGCAGGGGCGTCTCCCGTGGTGGGGGCTGCCCGGCCCTAGTCTGGGGCTGGGGGGCAGGGCGTTTTGAGAGGAGAGAGGAGGTGGGCCAGTGGGCTGGGAGCTGGGAGTCAGCAGCACTTCCTGCAGATGATGGAGGGGCCAGCCTGGTCATGCTCCTGCTTGCGGATCCACATCTGCTGGAAGGTGGAGAGGGAGGACAGGTGGAGCCCCCCGGTCCGCACAGAGTATTTGCAGTCCTACGAGCTATGATCAGGGGAGAGAGGAGCGGGGTTCATAGCCATCCAGGTGGGTGCGGTCCTGGCGTGTGGTGGCCTCTGCCCTGTGCGTTGGGCACACCCAGAGGACAGTTTGTGCAGCTGTCTTTGAGACACAAAGGAAGGCATCACAGCCCTTGGAAAGGGAGACAGTGTTTCACTTGAGCTTTTACAACAAATTTCTCATTTGACAAAATCCACCCCCCGCCCCCCCACAAGAGTTCTTTGTTCCTGGAACGAAGAGTGTTTTAATCGCAGGCAGGAGTGTTTCGGAATGGCCATCCCCTGCTGGGGGGTAAATGACCACAGTGGTGGGGCCCTCCCTTCATCACTGCTCTGGACAGTTCCCCGAGCTGAGGCTGTGCTCACCTCCTAAATGACCTGGGCAGGCTGTGCCCCTCGGTCCTCAGTGGCTGCGTCTCTGAACTGTGCTGTGCCTCAGCACAAAGCCTGTGGCTCCAGGGGCCACTTGACGTGTTACCGCCACCCTACCTCTAGCTGCATCTCAGGGCTCTTCACTCAAGTGGTCCTTGGCTGGAACTCCACACCTTGAGCAGCTGGAGGAGGAGGCCCGATTGCTGGATGAGTGGTCTTCCATTTCCATCAGAGCTGAAGCTGGTTTGAAAGGGCCGGATTTTCCCAGTTGGGGGTGGGGAACTGGTCACCGGTGGTATCTGCTGTCAGGCTGGGAAGGTAGTCGGAGCAAACTCAGGACGGGCGTGTTCTATGCTGCTTCTCCTCCCCAAGTGGGTTAGAGGCGTACCTATACTGCCTGAGGACGAGGGTCCGGGTGATGGGAAGGTGTTCTAAGGAGCTTCTTATGGACGAGGTGTTATGTGGCTGTGGTGGGGAAGGAAAGTGGCATGTGGCGAGCCCCTGCTGCACCAGTGACAAGCACACCCAGCGCCTGCTGTATGTGGGTGCCGTGAAATGCCTTATTCTCTATTTACGGATATACCGAGAGTTCCAGAGTGCAAGTAACTTGTCAGTGGCCCCAGATGTAAATGGCAGAGCAGAGATTTGAGCCTAGGGTGGAGGTGTTGTCCCTATTTAACAGATAAATCGCCTGAAGCTCAGGAGCGTTCAGACAGACACACGGCAGCACGTGGAGGAACACAGCTCTCTGCCTGGCTCCAAACCCCCTCCCCAGGCCACCCTCCCCTCCCCTCCTGAGGAAGAGCTGCCTGCCCTGGAGCCCGCCAGCAGTTGGGACCCCCCCTTCCCCTCCCCGCCTTGACCTTCATGGTGGTCTGTATCCGGTCTGCAGTGCTGGGTACATGGACGTGTTGTGGCTTGCAGTTCCTTGTGGACGTCGATGTCTACTTCATGATGGAGTTGTAAGTGGTCTAGGATCTCAGTGGACTCCATGCCTGTCAGTGGGGCCTGTGGGTCTAAGGGTCCTGCCTTCCCTCGGGAAATCTCAAGACAGTGCTGCCTGCAGCTGGTGAGGGGGGTGTTCTCTCCAGACAGGGATGACCTCTCTCCCAGGCAGGGGCAAGGGGCTGCTGAGAAAGGGGGACTGGAGTTGAGGCTCTGTGGGGCAGTCACGCGTGGGACCGGGGCTCACCCACAAAGGAGGACTGGAAGCACTCTCAGGACAGCAGAAGCCCTCACTGCTGGTGGTAACAGCCTGCCGTCGGGCAGCTTGTCGCTCTTCTCCGGGGAGGAAGAGACGGCGGCAGCCATGGCCATCTTCTTCTCAAAGTCTAGGGCTGTGGACGCCAGCTTTTCCTTGATGTCCTGTATGACCTCC